GTAGGGGGGAGTATAGGGTATGAGGTGTGGGGTTAGCCTCTGCTTGCTATATTAGGGGGAAAGGATTAACCGGGCAGAGAACCGATAGACGTTGCCGCGTCAGGTTCTGAGCATGCGACAAGAAGACTTGTACTGCTTCCTACCGTGCTGCATGTGGTGTGTAAGAGGAGGACTCACGGGCTAGCTCAAGCTCTCGAGGAGCAAAGCCCAAGTCCCGTGCTCGCCGCAGATCGCCAAGCGTTGAACTTCTGCGTACTCTCCGTTTCCTCAGCCAGAGCACAAGCACGCCATGGTCCTGGTCAAAATCCGTCCTGGGATCATAGCCTCTTCCCGGGCAGTTCAACCTGGCCACAATCATGTCAAGCAAGTCTGACAAAGCGGTTTGGGCGCCCGACCTCAGCCACCGATTTGGACGAGCTTCTGGAGGCTTGAAGGCACGTGTTCTCGTCAATGAAGGAGAACTCCCAACCCTGAATATCCTGGCACTTTGCAACCCCACCAGCAACCACCAGTACCAGCTTCTCTTTCTTGGCCTGGCCTGGGTGGAAGAAAATGACCGGAACACCTGCAGATGAACTTGAGTAGAAATCTGGGCAAACATATCAACGGGTATTGAACCTTGCGCCCGAATCTGCCCTCGAATGGACTGGCCACCTTCAAGTGAAGATCTAAGCTGCCAGTGCGGAACTGGTGCTCCGACTGTGTGACAGTTCAATGCGTGCCTTTTCCTCCGCGTGCAGCATTGAAAAGGAGGTTGACCAGTGGCGTAAAGGCGGTACAGGAACCTACAGGCTTCCAGCGATGCAATCAGAGCTGCGTACGTACACAAAGCATTGCCTCCCGTTTAAGGACTTGCTCGAAGTCCACTCCGGCAAAGAAGGGGTGTGAGCGCACCTGGCACCATTCTGGACACGACCCAGGTGCCTGAACCAGTGAAGATTGCAGACATTGCAAGCCTCCGATGTTTGCTTCTTGCCGATTCGCTTTGCCTTTCGGATAGCCAGCAAATGTTGATGCAAACTAGGGAGTCAAAGCATCTTATTGCCCCGGCTGCTAATTATGAAGGATTCGCTTAATCATTCAAAGCACGAACGCGGGCTGACGGCTTTGAGCCTTCGCTTTGAAGAGCCCGTACAACCCGCGAGTCATCAAACTTGAGAGCCACGGGCTGGGACGAAAGCTCAATAATGGACAGGAGTGGCGAGACAGGACGTGAAGAGACAGACCACATACAACCAGAAGAGCACGCAGCCCACCCCTAACTGCTCAGCAAAGCAACTGCAACCCTCCTACCGAAACCCCTCCTGTAACAAAAAACCTCTAAGATCCCAAGAGCCCCCCCAAATGCCCCCAAGATGCCCCCAAGATAACCCCCAACAATCTAGTCCAAAAATACCTCCCACGCCAACACCCTGAAATCCGCTGCAAAAAAAACCGGCCAAAATTGGCACCCTCCCCAGACCCCTCCCCGGGATCCCAGGCTCACTTCGACGGGGAGCTTTCATGATTAGCGATGCTCGATTGCAGGCTGTCCGCGTGGGCAGTTGCGGCCGCAAGATGGGTTTATCAACGGCTACTGAAAACGTGGCCATGTGCCATATGAGTCTGCAGCTTTTGGGCTCTCCAACGTTAAGACAGGTATGCAAGCTGAATTGCTCACACAAGTCTCTTAGACGTCATTGCTAAGTGGCGGGGTCGCGCTGCATGAGGGCTTTGATGAGATCCGCGCAACGAGAGCTGCAACGTGCTGGCGCCTGGCGAGTAGCTGCAAGAACTATGAACAAAGCTCCAACCGCATAAGCCCTACTTAGCTTGCTTACCAGGAGATTTCTACAAGTCGATAGGCGAGAGGAGCAAGCTAACAGAAGTTGGACGCCAACCTGCCTGCAACGGGGCAGTGACAATGTTGCGAAACAGGGTGTCCTGGCATCGAAGTTAGGGCAGTTTGTCTGCCACAGCACGTTTCTTCGGACTGGGCCACGCGCCCTGTCTCGGCTGTAATACGGTGGTTGGCCTTCCATCATTTCGTAGAGAAGCACCTCTTCTGAACACGAAGACAATTTCACAAAAAGTGCCTGAGGAAATCTCAGAATCTCAGGAGCAGGCACCAAGGCCATACAGGTCAACGTTTCGTCCGTGCCCGGACCTTGTAAGAATCTCTGGAGCAAGGTACCTCAAACAGGAACTGCTGCATTTCTGCTAGGCAAGCCAGTGCATGGGCACGCAACAGATCCGCAAAAGGATTTTGTGCCACCGAACTTGTCAACGCCCTCTTTTGAGAGCCCAAAGTCCTGCGCAATGGCAGAAAACCAAAATGTTTGCGTTGACTGGAACTGGCATGGATCGGACTTCTGGCTGCGCAGCTTGCAATAGATTTCAGGTAACACAAATGTTTCCTGGTGAGTTTCTGAATAACTTTCACAGAACCTCATGGACACTGGACAGCCAGCTGATGGGCCCATATGCGCTCCGTGAGTACGGCATGTGCTTCATCGTCCAGCACCTTGGGCTTTCAACGCTAACATCTGCACTGAAGCTGACGCCCCGCGCTTGTCCTCATGGTAGATGGGTCATGGTAGATGGGTCACTGAGTGGCTTGCCACGTTTTCTGGTTTCAGGTCGCGGTAGACTACCCGTCTCTCGTGCAAATGCTCCAGGGCAAGAAGCACCTGTGCCAGAGCTTGCATAAAGTACATTCAAGTCTAAGTCGCTGGAATACCAGGATCTGTCAAGGGCGCCTCCGAGGCATACAGCTGTGCAAGCACCTCGCGGACGGGATGAATAATCCGAATCCTGATTAGTGTGGGGAGCCTTCATCGCGCGAAGGTTGGACGAAATTATTCAGCACCCCTGAGTTTGTTTGGTGGTGCTGATTTGTGCAAAGCCACAATTCAGCTTCACAGGGATTGAAGAAAGAAAACGCCTTCACGGTGCGTCCTACTGAATCTAAATCAAAACAGCTACTGAGATCCGCAATGCGTTACTGCTCCGCAACCCTCTTCCCATTGATTTTAGTTTACAACTACGGCTCGGTGTCCCCTCCTAAACAGGGATCCATCCTTGTCGGGAGAAGGTCGAGCACACTAATCAGGATCCAACGCTAATGCGCATCAGGAATGCTCTCAATGGTACGTGTTTATTCGAAATGACGCAGTCATCAAAAGCAAACCGTCATGTCTGCGCTTTGCGGCAAAGATATTCTGGTCCTGCACAGAACCTATGTTGGACACATTCTAGTACAAAATCATGGTGGAATATGGTGGATGGAGCAAGCACGAGAACGCCCACACACCCCATTTACATTGTGACGAACACAGGTTGACGTTATCCAAGATGTTGGCCGCTGGCCATTTGTCCTTGTCAAGATTTTCTCAATCAACAGGTCGTCCTTTTGCTACTTTGCAGAAATTCAAGCGGCCTCTGGCAAAGCACCCTCCCGGTGAAGGAGCATTGACAGATTGCCACCCGGGCAGTACTGCAGAACGAGTACCTTCAGGGGCTCTGGGCTGCAAAGCAGCTAACTTACAGCTTCAGACCAAGATCTCACAGCACGGAAACGGGCTCACGAGGCAGCTTGGCGTTTGGAAGGCGTGATACAGCCTTGTGGTGTCTCTTCGGTTGATCTGCTTTTACCAAAAAAATCACAGAAGGGGCGCCTCACGATGAAGGGGTGCCTGACGAAATCAGTTTCTCACTCAGAGCCAAGAGATGCAGAGATGAGAAAAAGCCGCTAATGTTTTATAAGACAGTCTATTAGAAAGCCACACGTTTTGCTTAGCGCCTGATGTAGGAGAGCAAATTTCTCTCGGTCAAGGCGTAGCGCATCAGGTTTCTGCTCATGATCTTGCCTGCGCCGGCCAACTTCGAAAGTAACAAGGCATCAACGGTAACATCAGCCAGGAATACGTTTTCGCAAGACCTTCATTGCGAACACCTGCCATCTTCCAAGGAGCCAAAGCGAGAAGTCTGTTTAGGGACCTATAAGAACCTAAGGACCTAAGCCAAGCCAACCTGCCTGGCCCGTTGCACGGTCTGCCACCTTGAACACCTCCCCAAAGGAACCTTTGCCTAGCTGGAGACATTTCACACAAAACTTCGCTGGTCTGAAACTCTGAGAGGCTGACCCAGAAGGGACAGCAGGCGAAAGGAGTCAGGGCCGACTGCCTCAGAAGGCTCCCTCTCCTGCAGCCTCAAGAAAGACTGTGAAGTACGTGTTGATGGGATCACTTTCGTAGTCAGAGCTGTGGGGTGAGCTTCAGAAGCAGCCAGCAGCCGTTGGACGGCATCTCGACGCGAACTGCGTAGAAGCACAGCGTGGGGACCAAACTCCAGGAGCCTCCGGCCCGCATAGCTGTCGTGGCAGCTGTTGTTTTCTTCAGGCACGTGCAGCCCTCGAAGCTTGCAGCTCTGCGGAAAGCAGCGCAGAGTCCTCGCGTCCCAGGACACCTCGCAAGGCCTTTGTCCGAAATGGTTCCTGATCTCCGGCAGGTCCGGTGGGGAGCCAGGGAAGTGGAGGAGAAAGGACACAACTTGGAAACGACCAGATGCCGATGCCTCGTGCAGAGCTGTCTCTCCCTGGTCTGCCTGCAGAAAGCTCGCGCCAGCTGCGAGCAGCGCCTGTGCGACAGCCAAATGACCTCTCCGGCAGCAAAGGTGGAGAGCTGTGAAACCTGGCAGGCGGCCAGAAGAAAAAGGAGACAATCCTCACAGGAAACCAGCGTATAGCAAAGCTGATACAATGCCTTATTTGCACCGACTAGTAACTAGTGCGGGTTCCCCTTACACAGCACTTACGCCTGTCACACCCCTCGCCGCTCCCACCTGAATCCGTCTGAGCATCGACACTGGCTTGAAGGTGGAGAAGTGTTTCAACACAGTCCAGGTGGCCTGCATCTGCTGCCAGGTGTAGAGCTGTGCGCCCGTACAGCCCCCGTGTATCGGTCTGGACCCCTTCTGCCGCGTCTACTGGCGAAATGGGGGCCTCTGACTTGTGGCAGAGATCCGCTCCAACAGTTGATGGGGTTGGAGAAAGCTCGCGACAAAGCAGGTTTATTCGAGCCGCGTCTCCATTTGCAGCTGCCTCGAACAATGATTCGATTCGTCTCCTTCGCAGCTTCCACCAGGAATCCCAAGGGACTGGGGAAGAAGGAAATGAACTTGTATGCTTCCAGGTCAGACGGCTGAGAGATTCGTGGATGTCTTCAACTTCACCAGTATCCAAATTCATCGTCACATCGGAACTTGCAGCCTGCTCAGCCTGCTTGTCAGCATTGCCCAAATCTGCAGATTCGCCGCTGTCTGCGCACTCGCCCCGGGATTGCCTCTGATTGGAGGTGCCCATGGCAGCGCCTACTCATTGCCTCATGCAGGTGTCATAGTATGCCCTTGTATATCAATGACTGCAAGTCAGTGTGTTGGTTCACCGCATCTTGAGAACACCAGCTGCGCGCGTACCCGAATCTAGGAATCTACGCGGAGGCAAGCCGCAAACTGGAGAACAAAAGGTTAAAGAGCTACAGGCGTCAAGGCCTCACCGGCGGCTCCTGACCGACCTTGATCTTTTTCATATAGAGCAGTTGTCTTTTACACGCACAGCTTGGCCCCAAAGCTTGAACAGGGTAAGGGGTGGTGGCTTCAAGGTGCGAAAGCTGTTGAGCTGAGTCTTTGATGAGCCTTGCAGCTTGTCGATTGCCCTGACACTCCTGCAGTCCAGCAAATGCCCTTGCTCTCTGATGTCCGGCTTGCGCGGCGGACTGCACATCAAGTGTTGCGAAGAGAGGTTTGACAAACCGGCTCGAAACATCACAGTTGATGAGGCAAGAGCCGAGTCGTTCCAGGTGGCTTGCCACAGCATTTAGCAGTAGCATCACCACATCCTTCTGCGCACACAGCCTGCCGCAAAGAATAAACATGACAGAAACTCCAAGAGAGTCTCGAAAAGCGTGTGCTCTGGGAGGCGCTGCTTTTGGGAGGAGCTTTTCTGAAAGTGTGCCTGAGGCCGAAGTCGCTCAGAAGGGTACCTGCGAGCTGGCAAAGCCAAACGAAGCTGCCGCCAGATACAGCAGCCCTGTGCTGACAAATCTGAAAGCACACTGCATGGACCCCTTAGCACTCCGTGGCGCTGGCGCAGCAGAACAAGCGGCCGGACCGGGCGCTCTGAACGAGCCACGCAGGCAATGACCTCGGCTTCAACGCTTCAGCTGGGATCCATGACAGCACCATAAATTCGGTAGCTGGTTTGACCTGGCTATTGCATTCTCAAGGCTATACTAGCAAGTCAGGAAATTGTTGAGAGATATTGAGAGCTTCTTTTTGTTGAGAGATTTTTCTACTAATCATAGGCATAAGCACATATCCGCCGAGGCCGGAGGCCTGGGGCATTTGAATCTAGGACCCAGGGGTCAGGCATGTGTTCCCACCCCAGATTTCCTGGCAACGAAGTGTTGCCCTTCCCTCCTCAGGCTACCAAAATCTTGAGAAGCTGCGGAGCCTGGGTTTCACCTGCTCTGCCCCTCCTCCTGCCCTCCTGGCCCCTCCCCACCGAAAAGCTATGAAATGTCCGCTTTCTTTTTCTACCTCCTTATTCACCCTCGATATGCGATCCGTAAACCCTGCCCTATGCATCCGTCTAGACAGACGAACTGCCCACAGATATCCGAAAGATCCTTTGCCTTGACGTCCTATGACCCCTCCAAAACAGATCTCAATATCCCTTTCCATACTCAAACCCTAAGCGTTCCTTGCCCACAGTCCTCTTCACCCGCTTCAAGGGACCCCTACAGTTTCTATGCACCCCTCGATGTAAAGTTGTTGAGTTGCCAGTGCGCCGAGGATCCACGGATCAGCATGGGATGCTATTGATTCTCGAAGGCAGTGCGACTAACGTCTTCGATTCAAAATGAACGAAGGGAGAAAGAGGAGGGGGCGGAGAGGCGGGGAAAGAGGCAAAACTTAAGAAGGGGAACAGGGCAGGAGGCGAGAAAGCCTCAGGGAGCCTACCAGCCTAGACATGAGGCAACCCAAAGTTGACAACATGCCCTGGAACATCATCAGCATCAAGCACTACCTCATTGAGGTCCCAATTGTTGGACAACCAAATTCGCTAGCGCCATTTGTACCGTGAAAGCAGCGCGCAAACAAGAACTCTAAAGTGATATCCAAACGGACTGTGAAACCTTGGAGCCGGTCAGATGGCGCGCAGCGACTACAATTAAGAGACTGCGTGACTGGGTTCGTGGCCATCTTAGTAACGGCCTCGCAACCCACCTCAAGACCAATTTGTTCATTGCACACGCAGTGTTGACAGGGAGGCTGCCTTTGGGTGCTTTGCAAGCTGCTGCACCAGCTTGTCCGATGCAACACCCACCTGTAATTGATCAACAAGCAGGCAGCGGACGGAATGATAGAGTCATGCAGAAGACTCGCAGCAGCTACCTCACCTTTCAATTTTGTTCTATCATTCCATTCGAACCCCTTTTGATCCAGCATCATGCTGCCATTTTGACCGGCTTACGATTGAGTTCGTGAGAGGCCTGTTGGTATTTCAATGGAGCCGTTTACTTTAAGCAGAGCCTTGAGCATATTCCCCAAAAAGCCAAGTAGAGGTTTAAGAAGGCTGGAGGCCGCATCTTATCATGATGCGCCTTGACATCCCCTGCCAAGCCGGAGAGCGCTGTTCGCTCCATCAGCGTTGGAAAGATCTTTGCCAAGGCGAGGTTGAGATCTGGCCGTTTCCAAGGCGAGAGAACTTCATGGCTCAGCCTCTCAGCCTAGCTTCGCCAGCAAGATCCAAGCGCGGCATGCGGTGCCAAGCCCGGACACGCTTGCACCCAACTGCTGCACGGAAAGCTGGCAGAGCTCCACCTGGCACGTCAAGCCTAAAGACTGGAGCATGGCATCTCGTCCGGGACAAGTGGGTTTTGCACGAAGGCATGGGCTCTTTTCACGTACCAGTTATTCTACGTCAACTGGGCCACTGACTTTGGAAACCAACCAAGTCGCCAGTATGCTCAGGCAAGCACAGCGCAGAGGAATACAAATCGGTCCGCGCCAACAGGAAAGCCAAGGGCTTGCTGTATAGCCCGGCAGATACCTGCGAACGCCTGGCAAACATTTTTGGCAGAGGTTCAGGAAAACGCTTCCGGCTTTTTCCTGCCTCTGCACTCTGAGCTTTCTCCTTCTCCCTTTCTGCTTTGCAGGCCTCCAGCTTGCAGAAGAAAGAGGTGGAGGTGTCCATGCCACTTGTTATGCTGTGCTGTGACCATGCCTTGCCCAACGCTTTCAGCGCTGCAATGACGGCCTCTGCATCGTGAGAGATATCATCCGCAATCCATCACGCTGAGATGCACGGCCTTCTCTTCGCCCCTCTGGGGTGCTGCAAGTACATTCAAAACCTTTGGAGACATCAACACCAAGGAACCTTTTTAAAAAGAAGCACAATCCGTACCTCTATTTCACAGGACGACCAGGCAGCTAGACTCGAGGGCACCTTGGCTTCAGCGCACTCAAGTGACTCAAGTCCCTCAGCACACGCAGATCTCGACTTTTAAGTTGAGAGTGTGGCCTCCCAAGGAGTCGCTGTGATCGTCTCAACTCTTTGTGAGCGGTTCAGCGCTGAGTTTTCTTCGACCTGCATGATTGTTTTGGGCTCTCCCTATGCGAAGCATTCTTCGTAACAGCAAGAACCACAAGGACTGGCAACCAAGAGTGGCTTGGCATCTCTTTTGCAGCAGGTTAGAGCTCGTCCCACTCCGTTGCAGCAAAGTTGGCATCCATTAGCTTCTTGGCATAGGTTGAGTTTGGCGTAGAGGAGCTTGCTAAGTCCTTCGTCCACTCTTTAAAGCGCTCTTCCATGTTGCCTTCCAGCAACGCCTCCGCGACTTTTTCTGCTGTAAAGTGCATGTGCTTCACGAGACCTTGCCACACCGCCAGAACCTCTGTAGCCCTGGCCTTGTACTCGCAGCCCACACCAAATAAGTGTAGGTCTCCCATTTCCGGAAATGTGTCCTCGTGAAGGCATTCAACAAAGCGTTTGGAAATCTGAAGGGCCTCTTGCCTTTCCAGCTCCAGCTTCCTTTCTCGCGTCTGCTCTCCCATGTGACGTTTGGCCGAAGGCTCATCAAGTGGTGCATCATGTATCAGTCGCAGCCGCTCTGGGCGAATAGCGGTCACATCTCTGTCAGGGAAGCACACACCTACGCGATCGCGGGTGTACTGACGGACACGACCCTGCAAACCATTAAACTCTGCTTTGCTCAGTCCATGTGCTTCGACGATGCTTTCACGCGGAAATTGCAGCGACAGAAAGGCTACAGGATGTTCCTCGAGGTTCTGCCTCACATACTCCTGGAAAGCTCCAGGCTCCAAGATCCGGTTCGTAACCTCTGTGAAATGGCCCTCACTCTCACCAGCCTGCTCCATCCAATGGCTGATGTAATCACAAATCATGTCAAAGTCATGGCTGGAGAACGGCACCTGGTCCTTCCTTGCAAGGACCACGGGCGGAGCCGGGCCGCGGGTTCCTCCATACTGCCACTCCTGTGGCGCAAGGCCATCTGAAGTATCTGCCATAAAGCGAACAATGGCGTTTGAGCGGATTCCAGAATCATCGCCTCCTGTTCCGGACTGTATCTTGTACAGGATGGTTACTCCAAGCTTTTCTGGAACTGGGACAGAACGAAATGTTTCGTCCAGTTTGACCTCGACGTTCTGTACTGTTGGGCCATGCACCCGCACGCCGGGCACCATGGTCACTCGCGTGGCCTACTGAACTCTGGCTTTGGTCTTGATACGTTCGGCAGCCGAAATGGAAGACTGACTACTTCACAAGCTATCACACAAAGGGCGAAGCTCGAGTCCCAAACCTCTTCGGGAAGTTTTAGGTAACGACGCACCTGGCAGAAGCTGGTGACTGGTGACTCCTCCCTCGCGTCCCCTCCACACTCCAACCCAGCCTGCGCTATAGACTTGGAGGGCACATCCCCCGGCAAGGCAGCGACCCAGGCCTCAAAACAGCCCCCATTTGATACGAACAACTTATCTTTGCAGGAAGCAAGTTGCAAACAGCATAGCTGCTATAGCTGCTATAGCTGCTATAGCTGCTATAGCTGCTGGCGCAGGACTGTTCAAGCCTTGCCTCTCGTCCAGGTCGCTGGGCCTCCTCATCGCCCAAGGTCTTCAGATGCCTTTGCATACGCAACTCTCTCAGCGTTCGGTGGGCCCTCGCTCAGGCGCACATCTTGCACACCAGGGCGAAGAGGCGGACTGATTCATGTCTCACCTCAACATACGTAGCAGCTTTAGCAGTGGCAGTGAAGTCACTCGCTTTGGGCCGCGACTGTAGGGTCAGAATGTTTCAGACCATCCGAGAGCCTGCAAAACAGCAACACCAACCGCACGGCATGTGTGCACGTACATCATCAAAAAAGCACACTGGCCTGCCTCGCCCACTCCCCTGGGCTACTGCTGCCCGCATGCTGCACAATGGACTTGGAATGCTCCTGAAGGAACAACTCGGAAGAACTTGGAGCTGCGGTCCAAGTTTGAAGAACTTGAAGCGCACCCACCAATCTGAAGCCATCCAAACCTGGGAGTCCCCAGCCTTGCACAAATCGCGCAAGGCTCCCAGCCGGCAAAGCCATCCGGTTGCGGCTCCCTGGCACAGGCAGCAACCATCATATTATGCGTACCATGGCCATGCAAATGTGGTGGAGCAAACGTAAGGAGGTCAACCTGTGAGAACGTCTCCTCCCACGGTATTGCTGCACCTGATGTACTCCATTCCTTCAAGCTGCGCCTCGTGTCAAGAAACCATTTTTGATCCTTCCACCTCCGCCAAGAAGCTGTTTCCTGTGAACCAATCAATGAATATTCTCTGCCGCTACCCGCTGCTTTCTGGCTACGGTTGCCAAGGCGAAGCACTCAAGCTGAGCTCCGCAAGCTGTCGTGGATATGACGGGATTGGAGTTCACGGAAAGAAGAAACAAGCAGCGCCAGAACACTTGGACATGACTGAAGAGAAACTTGCTATACGCGTTTGTTGCTTGAAGTTCAAGAACAGAAGTACGAATTGAAAAACTCGGGCGATTAGTAGGGAACATCTGTGAAGGAAATTCCTGCAGCTGTCTGAGGACCATAGTGCTCACGCGCTCAACTAAAAACATGTTGCAAACGCCATATGTTGTGCCATTTGCAGAGACAATCCAGATGTGACGAGGTAGGGCTGCTGCGACAATGACCTAAAGCTCCCGAGACCCGTACCACCCGAGACTTCCGCGCTCCGCCAGCTCCGCTACGACCGGATAGTGCTGAAGTGATGCTGGCACAATAGCCGACCCAAGCTGTCTTTTCTCAGGACACCGATTGCCAAGTAGAGCAAATAGAGACCACGGAGCAAATTACGAATTTGCACAAAACCTGCAGCAAGGCATGGACGCTTATAGCAGAGACCTCCTGGAGGTGGCGAGCTTGTTGATGGGGCTGACACTTTTTTTTGGCGTGTGGGGTCCTTCCACGGCTATTCTTGATACCTGTCAAAGGCTGTCAAGCTCGTTGTTACCTTACCTGGCCAAAAGGATGAAGTCAGGACCCCACCTTAAGGTCAAGTCAAGTCGAGGACAACCTGGAAGACACGGTGCTTTAGAGTAAACGAGATCAAGGTTGCGAGTAGACAGAAGACGAGCAGCCGCGGGAATGTTTCGAGATTGCATCCTAAACAGCTTGCCTGCTCGAAGCGCAGCTGTAAGTCTGGTAGTATTCCAATGATTGACGCCTTTGCTGTAGGATGACCTTTGACTTGCTGAAAGCACAGTGCCGTGCCCAATGAGAAAACCTGGAACTGTTGAGCGCCCGTTTGATACTTGAACACGGCAACCAAACGAAGCAATTCTCTTCCTTTGGCTTTCCATGGTTTTCGGCTTTCCGTGATCCAAAATGCTTGGATGCAAAAACCCCTGTAACCGGCACAAATACGCCCAACTGAAGAGCTCTGCTTTCCTTCAGCTTGCCTTGCCCGTGGCACCTTTGGCAACGGAGGCCATTGGCGAGTCGCCCTAGAAAGAAACATCTGAAGTGTATGCTGCACAGCTGGGCAACAGATGCTCCCAAGGTGCTCCCGCCTCCTCTTTGCTTGGCATCAGATGGCGCAAAATTAGCATTGCAATGGCCACCTTGAAAGCTGCGAATCACTGCACACATGTTCGCAATAAGCTTCGCTGAGGAAAGCTCAGGGCTGACGATGTTCCCTGTGGGTGGGTTCAGAAGACGGAAAATTGCCTGGCTTGGTGACACGCATGAAGAGAGTCCCCTCACTTGGGCCCAATCATCCGCCTGGGTGGTCTGGGTGCGGACGACCTGTCACCACCAAGTCAGGCAATGATTCGCGGCTACGCGCAGCTTCGAACAACATGGTTTGGCCTCCTTTGAGTCGCCCATGCGGGCACAAAGCTGACGCAGCAATGGCGCAAGATGCGCCACCTGTTTTCAAACATATTTCTAGCCCGGACCACCGAAGGCATTTGAATATCCTTCCGTACATGTATCTAACAGTTGCGGGTACATGGAGGTAGGATATCATTGTTGGGAATTTGGAGCACGAATTAAACACTTGCAGGCCTTTTACGGGGAAAGGTCATGTTTTTGGTTGTGGAGCGATGTGAGAAAAAAGTATGGGCCCTGAAGGCCACACGTTCGGTGACGTTCCATTCGATGATGCTTTTGTTGACGGAATGTCGAGTAGTGCTACCCACAGGGCTTACTCTGATGCCTTGCAGCTGTTCAGCGATCTTGCTTCTTTCGTTTAAGGGTTTCCAAAGCCCCATCTGCACCGAAAATGTGATTTTCAATTCAGGATCACTCTCATCATACATTTCCTGTTTTCCTGCCCTCCTCATGACTTAGAGCTTGACGGTGTCACAGAAATTTTGCAAAGAATAGAGTATGGCTCATGTCGAAGCATATTGCATAACCCGTATTGTTTGGGATGGTGGCGCAATGTTCAGAATCTGCCGCAGCCCTGCATCTGGAAAGCTTTCAGTCCATGAAGGCCAGGGCGGTCAAGTGTGTTCTTGTTCGTACAAGACTCTAGTAATTGGATGTGCGAAATGTCAAGCAGCAAACAGTAGCAGTAGCAGCAATCGTAGCGGCATCACTTCCTCAGGGATGGACTAGCAGCCGTCCATCGACAGTCCCGCAAAAAGACGGCACAATGGCCGTCACTGACATGCATGCCTCGGAGTCGATCTCCCTGAAACATGCTCGCTTGACGCATCTGAGGCATGGACTTCCGCATAAACTCGAACATTTTGGTCTCCCAAACCCTGCAAGGAGCGGTTTACATGAGTAGCCCTGAGCAGCGTTCTTGGTCGTCCAGCCTCATGGACAGCTCTCATTGCTCCGTCCAAAAGTTCTGCAAGAACATTGGGTGATACCTCTGCTCTGCAGCTTCGTTGATTCTTTGTCAAGCCTGGCCACTTCTCCGCTGGCCTCTGACGTTGACAGCTCCTCTAACCGCTGGGCCATTGTTGCTGCCAAATGCGTCAGGGCCTTGACGCAAATCTGTGCAAATGGAAGCTGCTGTGTAAATGGATTCTGTGCTTGTTCCACTCTCAGATGGGCGCTGCCACTCGGCATTGCCAATTCCGGCTATAAAAACACCTGAGCGCTGACGATCTACAGATGAATCGTCCGGATGTGGCTTCAGAGCCTTGTCCAATCCTCTCCGAAAAGTGCAATCAGAGGTGCCACAAAGTCCAAAGCAACCTGACTGATGCGCTTTGCCCCTTGGGCTGGAAAACATGACCACCGTAAGCTGTAAGACTGTAAGCCAAGCTGTGTAATGTAATTTGTAAACAGCTGTGCTTCCATCAGAAAGTACTTTCAGCTGCAGAATGCATCCCTCTACGTCGCTGGGCCTCATCTAAAGCCTCGGCCAAGGGTAGTGCCTCAGAATGCATGAAGATGCATAAAGCATGACATCGTCTCAGAAGATGCTCATGCTTCCTCGAAAGTGGGCAGCGCAAGTATTGCGAGGCTGATGGGGACCAGGTGAAGGTCCATAATCAGAACAGCAAAACCAACAACGCTGGAAACCGTGCGCTTGACCAGGGCAGCAACTTTCACGACCGGGTTTCCAGTCCGAACAAGCATGACTTCTGCACATGTTTGGGGCCCAACCTCCTTCAGAGCTGCCTCACCCTCAGCCAATTCTGGTACCTAAGACGATGCGAAAAGCTGTCAGTCACATGGGCAGTCGTCCTACACCAACAAGAACGTGTGTAAGTAAGCATTGTATGTACATCTGCGTGCTCAAACCTGAAGCGATGGAAAAGTTCCATGTTCTCAGCTGCGAGAGTCCAGTGGGAGTGCAGCCACAATGCCCCGATGTTGAGCGATGTTGAGCAAAGTTTGCTCGCAGACGCTTGAACTTGTTACAGGGCTGGCCCCCTGCGCAACTTTTCCCCTAGTTCTAGATTCTTCGGGTCCAAGGTGTTCGGGAACTAAGCCTAGCCATATGTGGAGTCAACATACCAGTAATTATACCAGTACACGTCTGTCTGTTGCGGCACTGAGGCGCCTCATCAGCTCCGCCGCATGCATTTTTGACATCGAAAAACTTGACGCCCTTGCAAAGGTTGCAAAACGGCAAATAGAAAGAGAAGAGAATTTGAGGCCTCATCCTCGAAGCCGCCGGGGCCGGGCTCTGCCTGGAATCACAAGTCACAACTCACTCCATAGTCGTCATCACTAAAGTACTGATCCGATAATCTGCGACGCATCGGCGCATTGCTGGCCTCCACTGCAGGGGCCTCGCTGTGGACCGAGTTGTCACTCTCGTCCTCCATGGCCCTGTCATAATCTGTCGTGCATGGAGCTTTTAAACGCGAATCAGAAGAAGCTGCAGCTGCTGCCTGCTCATGCCCGTTCCAGGCCGACCAGTACCAGGGCGGAAGCTGACAATGCTTCACAACAAATATGCAAAGCTCAGGCACTGCTCAGGCACAACGTACACCACCTGGAGCCCGTAGCTCTGGATCGGTTGGCTGTGCTCAGGCGACCTGAGGCGAGGCCGCGAGATGTATTCCCGTGGCAGTGCAAAGGTTGAAGCGCCTGAAGAGTTCAGCGTCAAGGTGAAACCTGACAGTGGAGAAGCTTCCTTGAGCGTGCTTCTTCCAACAAGCGGCAGATAACAGCAGCAATGTCAAAGCCTATAGCATCACTTCTCCAGTTGATTCTGAAATTGATGCACGCGAGCTCGCGTGCCTCCCGTGGATCCCATGTTGGACAGCTTGCCTGTGCCCCCCAAGTTGCTTTGCGCACCTGGCATGGGAGGGAAACAGCCTCCCAACACTGCCACGTGATACTTCCGATCTTGTGCCCTGCTTCCCAGGGACTATCGCAGGAACTTCATCAATACGGCCCGACACTGTCCAAAAACAAGATTTTGGAGCTTGGTCATGCTCTGTAGCTTTGAAACCAACAGCTTCTCGCCTGTGCTCGGACGAGACCCAGTCGCAGTCCCTACTCTTGTTCCAGTCAGCGGCCTGTACTAGCAAAGATGCATGCGAAGGAAACGAATTTCAGGAGGGGAGTTCCCATGCCCAGTTTGCTTGCCTGACACCGGTGCCTGGTCGCATCTTTTGCCTCGCTCTCTCCTCCGCCATGGCCTTTTCCCAGCAGAGCACCACAGCACGGCCATCGCTTTGGGTCTCGGCTGCCTTGAGCCGGGCCAGAGCAGCCTCGGCGATCTGCATCGCCTGACCTGCCAGCAGCTTGAGACGGGGAGGCGTTCCGCTGCTCTTGTGGAGGCCTTCTAGCTGAGCCATGGCATTCAAGACGTTGGTGGCCTCGTTAACACAAAAAGTGCCACAAGCCTGGGCTTCGGACGCGTCCGATTTTCTTGGCCTCTTTTCGGACGTCGGAGCTCTTGTTTTCCGAGGCCTGGCAGTGAGAAGACGACTTGTGCGTAGTTGCCCTTGTGCATTGCACTTGTGTGGCGTTGCCTTGACAGCATACTCGGCCAGAGCTCCCCAGGTCTCAGCCGACCAGACACCCGAGGGGCGATCCACGCGCTTCACCTCCAACCCCGCCGCTGTCAAGGTGGTGCGAGGACGAGCCCTTCTTGGGATGAAGCCATCTGCCCAAGCAGCTGGAGACGCGGTCCAGCGCTGCGGTCACTGCCTGAGCTAATTGAGCCGTGATGACATCACGAGCAACCTCGACTCCTCGAAAACGACTACGGAAAGAAGAGAGAGAACGTCTAGAAGATTGTTTTAAGGACCATGCCCCGATCCGCAGCTGCTTGGGAACTACAAGTCCAAGCGCTGCCTTGCTGGCAGGCTCATGGCATGTTGCTTGAAGCGAAACATCTGGTTCGGCTGACCGCTTGCAACGCATTGCACGACCAGCTCGCTCAAGGCGTTGCCATGCAAAGCTCCAACCTCAGCAAAGCATTGAAGCATCATGCAGTCCATTTGCAACAGCCTGGTCAGCAAGGGCAGCTGGCCAATGCTAAACCCACAAATCGAGGAAGACTACATGGCTAAGGAAAAAAAGTTTGCGCCTCCAGCGTGGTCTCCACAGCTTTCTGCCGCACCTGCACAGAACGCTTTGCTCAGGGAAAGGCGAACTGGACCCTCCAGAAGGCGCCTTCTGGCTGGTGTCCAGCAGCCGTGCGAAGAGTGGAGGCAGCAGCGGTTCGAGGAAGAGAGGAGCGATGTATAGGGGCACCTGAAGGCTCAAGGCTGCGCCACAACACGGCACGGCACCAAGGCTGGGCTCCGGGCATGGCTGCAGATGAGCCGCAGCAGATCCGAAGCACCGACAAAGACGGCTGTCACGGAGTCTGAGAGCAGCGTCAACAGCTGGGCCTGCGTCAGAATTCCATTTCTTTACGCTTCCATTTCTACTTGTTCTACAGTTGTTCAGTTGTCTTGAATGGCCGCGAATGGCCGACTTGCATCATGCCTGCAGCATCGAGATTCGCAGCCCTGACAGGACCTGGGCAAGGCAGCGTTCTCGAGCAACCCAGCAACAGAGGCATTTGAGAGCTCCAATGAGGCACTGGCATATTGAGACAGAAGCGGGCCAGTGGCACCCGCTCCCTCATCCTCTTTACAATTTTGTTGCATGCGATACCAAATGACATGTCAGATGTATGACAAACCGCGGGGTCCGCAAGGCACTTGACGCCACCGCCGGCCACTTGCAGCTCCGAGGCCAGCTTGCCGATGCTCTCCGCCCGCTCCTGGCAATCAGCGCACTGAAACGCGGCCTAGACTGCAAAACCCTTTTGCACCTGCCAATTCTTGCTGGCAAAGGCCTCTTTCAAAGCCTGCGAGACTCTCCCAAATGTCTTCGGAGCACTCTGCCTCACTCCCCCTCTGCATTTGGATCCTGCCTCTGCTGCTCCGTCATCTGCTCGATCAGGGCCCTCGGGCGCTGGAGGTGGCCTTGTGGGATCTCAGAAGGTGCGAGTTGCACAACTGACATTTTCGACAGCCCTGGTCACCTCGGTCACCTTTAAGGCCCTAAGAGACTCGAGGTGGTTCAACCCAGCCACGCATTGCAACACCACAGCCGATATGGCCAGCATACCCAAGAAAGCTCACAGAAAGCGAGGAGGTGAGGCCTGGTGCACGTGACTGTCTCCTTGGGTGCCCCGAAAGCAGCGAGCTTTCAAATTTGTTGCTTACATGCTGCACATATGCTGCACATGTGTTGCAGATATGTTGACCTTTGTTTGCACAAGTTCTCGCATGGTCATCGAAGGGCTCACCCTGGTCTATCTGAGCGCAGAGCGACTTCCTGGCCCGACTGCAGGCAGTCCCAAACCTGTGAACATCAACTCTGCACTGATCTTTGCTTCGAAGCTGAGCCAACATGAGCCAACGAAAGGATTGCCTGCTGGTTGAGCTCAGACACACAGACGAAGGAGCCTCACGAGGCAGTTGGCGTCTGCCCTATTCAACGAGTGCAGAGACTTGCTGTTCTCATCTGCTTCGCAAAAGACAACTTGGATGTGCAGAGTGCTTGATCTGCCTGCACGGCTTTCTTCCGCCACAATATCCTGAAACAGCATCAGTCAACGTTCACCATGCAACACCTGTGAGAATCCCCAACTGCTGCCAGAAGAAAACTCCTCCTTCGCGGTGGCATCCTCATCGCACGCCACCTGGTCGCATGCAATCTGCGCCCACAAGTACTCCGTACGTACAGTACTCAGAGGTGAAGCTAACTGAGGCTCTGAGAGACCCACAGCAGACAACAAAGCGATGCCCTCATGGCTGGAAGCCAGGCCCTCGATCCGCTTCCGCGCCTTGGCTTGGCCCACGTCTCCAGTTTCAACACTATGCCGATGTTTCCCCATTTCCTGGCCTTGGGTGGCAAGAGCTCCCAAAGTCGCTCCTCCATACCACCACTCAGCGCCTGCCAGGCGAGTTTAAATTGGCAATGATCAGAGAATATCTGACACCAAGTGCGGCGCACCAACAGCTGCAAGAGACAGTCGCCGGAAGCTGCCCGGACTTTCGAGTGCTCCGAGCTGCACGCTAAGAGGAGCAGAGGCAGCACCTGTCTAGTTCACAGAAGCTATGCTTTGTACCTGGCGTGCGCCTGATGGAAAGAAGTTGATGGAAGATCTGAGACTGGTTCTATGGCACGCCGAAATAGGCCGGACTGCTGCAGGCCGAAAGTGTTCAGCATGCGGCCCAGCAACCTGGTCAAATATCAATGCGCACATGGAAATCTTGAAAGTGATGTTGTGCAACATTGTGCAACTGTGTGAAGCAGATTCGCTTCAGCCAGGGCGCTTCAAGTTCGCCGCCAAGCACTTTGGTGCTTTGGCCTGCTCAGACCGGTCCTGCGCACATCTGCGCACACTGCCCGCTCAGACACGCTGGGACACGTTGGCATCCCTTTCATTTCAGCACGGCTCAGCCCTGCAGCATCCTTGGACCCTTGGATCGATCGTAGTCGTTCTTCAATTCGAAGCAGCAGGGGCAAAGCAGCCTCATCCAAAGGGACCTCAGAACAGACATCTGTGCATCTGCCAGGCTGGCGCTGGCAGTGCCAACCCGTCTGAGAAGCTCAAAACACTGTTTGAAGATTTACAGCTTGTGCCCTTTTACATGACCATTAACAGGCAGGCCTCACCGGCATGAAGTATGAAGCCAAGGCAGTTGCAACTGTACAGAACGCCCAAAGCTAGTGGTGTCCAAGCTAACCAGCCTAGCTCAAGGTACCACAGGCAAGTCCGCAACGCGTCTGTGGGCTGACATTTTTGATTCCGATGCGCGGGCTCTCTTCGCAGCTTTTGCGCTCTGGCACCAAATGCATCCTCCACGCTGCGATGCAGACTTGATCCGTTTGAAAGGCGCGCTTTGGCTCAAGGGCTTGAGAGAATGAACAGAGGAAGGCGCAGAGAATAGTGTAGGCAGGGGAACGGCAGCGTTCCAAAAAGAATTCAGGACAGCTCAGCAAGACACGGTGGAGCCTTCAGTGAACATGCAGTAGTTTTCCTGGGCTGTAGCCGGAGGCAATGGACAAACCCAGCGCCCTGGTAACTACGTACACATTGGAAGCTTCTGGGCCAAATCTTCTTTGTAAGCTTCTCGTGCGACCCTGGGTCGTGCAGGTTGGGTGTGGCGCTTTGCCTCAGCTGCTGCAAGTGACTTCGCCTCGGTGGGCAGGTGTGCACTCGCGCCACACTCGGGCTTCGGACGTGTTCAGACTCCTTGCCTTGCGTCGGAAATAAACATACGCCGCCTACTTTTCAACACCCGGAATCTGAAATAGGTCTAACAGGTCATTTATACTATCTCCAAAGCCCGTGGCGCGAGGCCGCCTCATTTCTAAACATGTGGAAAGAAACTTTAGTTTTTGCTGTTGGAGATCACCGTATGCGGGAGAGTTCAGGTTGGAAGGCTTGAGGGCTTGAAGGCTCGAAGGATGAAGGGCTGGAAAGCTAGAAGGCCGGAGGACTTCAGGGCTGCAATGAAAGGCAAAGGCAGAAGACTGGAAGCTGAGGGCGGGAAGCCTAAGGGTGACGGCTAGAAGGTTTGAGGGCTGGAAGGGGCTGGAGGGCTGGAAAGGGCTGGAGAGTTGAGGGCTTGAGGGCTTGAGGGCTGGCAGGCTGCAAAAATAAAAAAGAAGGCCAGAAGTCCAGCTTTCCGGCCTTCCAGCCCTCCAGCCCTCCAGCCCTCCAACCCCAACCCTCCAACCCTCCGGCCCTCCAGCCTTCCCGCCCTTGCAACCTTGCAGCCTTGCAACCTTCCAGCCGACCAACCAAATTCCAAGCCTTACAGCCTTGCGTCCTCTAGTTTCTATCCATTTCAGCCACTCAGACATGTGCTTTGAAAAATCATGCAAACTTGCAAAAACGACTTGGAAGCGGGTGCGCCTTCAAAACATAGGCTATTCTTCTATCTATCACTGTGTCGAGTGAGGCAGTAAAGTTTTGTGCGGTTTGTGAGAACTATTTTTTATCTGGCCACGGAACCTTATGAAGTTAAGTTTACGTAAGCAATTTATTGGCAAGTCCTGAACAAGCAAACATTTTCGGAAAGCCGCAGTATCCTGAAGGTTCCAATCCAAGCGCCCCCCTCCTCTTGTTGAAGAATGGCCCATTGTAGTTGTCCCACAATTGAAAAATGATCTCCCCTAAGTTGGAATGTTAAGGCTGGAAGGCTAGAGTGCTGGAGGCTGGGGCCGGACTGGAGGGTTGGAGGGCAGGAAGGTTGGAAGGCCCACTGTCTCAAAGCCTGGCCTCAACTGTTAAACATCCGGATTTAGATAGATGTTTTATGCTACCTCAGTGGGTGCCAGCTTTTGGCCGCCCTCCATATACTTAGAAGTAGGCACCGTACATGTTGGTATTTGATGGACTCAGTCCGGTTCATCGTACAGCGCCGATCGCGTCACTCATGTTCGAGTATGAGACATGCAAGGAGTCCCGAAATCCGCACTGCATTCGTGGCATTTTGAGGTGACTCAGATTCTCTCTCTCTGTTGTCAACGTTAAGTACATCCAGGATGCTCTATTCTGCATCGCGCGCTGCCACCTACACCCAAGACCCGAACCGAAGATCTGAAGAAGTAACAAGAAGTAACAAGATGAGACACAATGGTTTGTGACGCAGCTTGCATCTGCAAACGGCGCCTTTTCCGTACCAGCATTCTGCCTGACTCTGCAGGACCTCTATTTCAGCGCATGCCATGGTGGCAATCTATTTTGGATATAACATTTTCACAGCGAGAAAGAAAACTGCAGCGAGAACACGTTGTTCATCTACTGGTTCTTGCAAATCAGGCTCCGTTTAGTGTACCCGTATATAGCAACATGAAAGTCCAGCTCGAAAAACCTGCTTTGTCCTGAACCTAGTTTTTCCAAGCAAAAAACTGTGTTTGGATCGCAAACCAACGCTTTCTTGTGATTGTGTTGGTTATTGGAAACTCCAGGCTTGAAAAAGAAACCTTTTCCCAAGAAAAAAGTTGGCTGTCCTGCAAAATTCTGGGGCCAAATCTTCCCAAAACTAACTCATTTTCAGAAGTTGTGTTTGTTTAAGCGGGCCTTCCCAAAACCAACTTTGTCTTAGGAACATTCATGCTTCAAAAAAGAACCACATCTTTTTCCTAGGAACACCAGAAGAACCAGCTTTTTGGAAGGGCATCATCATCTTCATGTTTTGTTGGGTGCTTTTAGTTGTGAATCGTTTTCGGACTTCCAGTCCTTCCACATGTTCTTAATATATATCTCTTACGGAACTAAGGAATAAAACAGCATGTTTTAGCACGCCTCCATAGTTACCGCAAACGTGTTGTTTGAGTCCTGTTGTTGTTTTCGTTGCTTCCTGTATTTCTGTTTTCTCCTTTTATTAACCAAGTACACAGTACTGAAGACAGACGAAATTAGCTAACTCCCCATGCGAGCGGAATTTACACTGTTTCAATCTGTTGGGAGGATCATGGGAAGGGTGTTCACAGGTATACATGAGAGCTCTATAGATATATGGTAACCCCCCCCCTAGGA